TTGTGTTTTTCAAATGCACTGTAACAGTAGCTAAAACGCTTTATGATTGTGTAAGCCACTCCAACTCTCCACTTCAAAACCTTGGCTAGTCTTCCGTGCATTTCTCCTCCACCTTGACTAACACAACATACATATTATGAACACAATAAATCTGTGAAAAGTTTTATAGTACCATTTTATACAACCTGCACTCATCTTACCAATAAAAAAAAAAATCCAGAAGAATTTCCTAAAGTCATAGTTTTTATTTTATTATTTTTTTAAAGAAGTTCTTGAAATATAAAGGACACGGGAAAACAAGAAGTAAAGAGGGTCCAGGGGTGGGGTGGGGCGGGTAGGGGTAAAACTTACCTGTTGGGTACAATGAACACTCTTCTGGTGATGGGCATACCAAAAGTCCTAACTTAAGCATTATACAATGTATCCATGTAATGAAAACATTTGTACCCCCTTAATATTTTGAAATTAAAAAAAAAAAATTAAGAAAAAGAAGCTCTAGCTCAGAAGTTTTTAGTCAGGCATTCACTGCTAATGGAAATGATGTTTTATACAAATAAAAATGCCAACATAATGAGGTCTCCCAGCACACTAAAAAACAGGATTTACAAAAGATTATCAGTATTCAAATCAGAAAATAAAACTGATCCTTAAAAAATGTACTGTATCCTACTAAAATGAAATTTTCCACTGATTTCAACAGCAGAAATAGATACATCCAGGGGTATAAGCTCATAAATGGAAATCACCAGACAAGTAAAAAATTCCTTTGAAATCCTGTGTGTTATCTTCAACATTCATTTTGCATTCTACTTTAAAAATCTAGAAATTAAGAAAAGACTACAGAGGACACTTACTGAAGTAATGATTAAAAGTTCCAATCATGGCAATGTTCTCTATCAGAGCTGCCCAGTAGCCACCAGCCAAAGGATCTATTGAGCACATCAAATGTGGCTAGCATGACTAAGAAACTAAATTTTTGTTTTATTTAATTTTAATTACCTTAAATTTAAATAGCCACATGTGGCTAGTGGCTACCATATTGAACAGGGCAGGGTTAGACCTCTGAGGTAATGAGGTAGACAAAAGGCATTCCTCATCTACTGTCTTCTTCCCAAACCTCCAGCTCCCTTTCAAACTTGCCATCTGTCCCTGATCTCAGATAAGTACGGTTAGCTGTTGGCAGGGAAGTGAGTCATTTTTCCTAGCCTTTCGAATTCAGATGAATTTTTAAGAAGTATCACAATCCCTCAACATTTACTGAGCACCCGTGAATGATGAGCAAGGAAGGAGAAAATGAAAAATCTAAATCTAGGCTTCTTTCCCTGAAGAACTCATGAGTTTAGTAGGGTAGATAAATCCTGTCACCAATTGCAATAAAATTTGTGTAAGTGTTCTTTAAAAAAAGCAATAAAGAAAGAAAGGGTGACTGTTTGGGGGTACCTGGGATGGGTTAGGGAAAATTTTACAAAGATGATAAGTCAATTGTTTCTTAATTGGCAAAGCAAGAGTTTAAAACATAATTGAAGGGAAGAGGCTAAGAAAGTAGGATTCCATGATCCAGGTCAACTGATTAGGGTGCCAAGATCACTGAACCTAAAATCAAGCACATATGATAATCTGAGTCAG